CTGCTGCTGCTGCTGCTGCTGCTGCTGCTGGGGCTTGCTGCGGTGAGTGCAGCGCCTCTGGCCCTGGCAGCAGCAAGAACAGGGGAGCGCTGCAGCAGCGGCTTCAGCTGCTGGACAGCCATAGGGGGGCTGTGGGGCGTCTTTGCAGCTGTTGCTGCTGCTGCTGCTGCTGAGGCTTCGTATGCGGAGGCAGCAACGCGCAGCAGCAAAGAGGCGCTGCCCTGCTGCCGCGCTCCCGCCAGCAGCAGCAAACCATCAGAAGACCCCTCAGCCACAAATTCCAAATAAGCCACTTCGCCTGAAAAGCCCTCAGTGACAATGCAGCTCAGCGGCTGCTGCTGCGGCAGCACGCAGCTGCTGCAGCAGCAGCTGCTGCTGCTGCTGCTGCTGCTGCTCCGCAGGCAGCAGACAGACGCTGCCTGCTGCTCTTGGAGGCTGCAAGGGCTGCAGACGGCGGCGCTGCTGCTAAGGGCTGGGAGCAGCGGGGGCCCGTCGCAGGGCTGCTGCTGCGGGCTGCTGCTGCTGCTGCAGCAGCAGGTTTCGCCTCCGTTTGCTGCTGGGGTTCGTGGGGGCTCTGCGTGTTGCTGCTGCGCTGCTGCTGCTGCTTCCAGCGCCTCGGAGTCCCCATTTTGCTGCTGAAGATGCTCAGAAGAAGAAGAGAAGAGGCTGTCTTGGCTGGCGAGTCTTTCGCCGCCGACGGAAGAGGCAGCAGTGCTGCTGGATCTTTGACGATTTTGCTGCTCTTCGGACGAAATTTGTTGAAATTTAAAGTTTAAAATATCTTTTGCTGCCATTTTTGAGTTGAAGTTTGAAGTTAAAGGTCCAGAGAGCAGCAGAGGCAGCTGCGCAGCGTCGGCCGGCAATGCGGGAGGCTCACATTGGTCTCGGCGGACGGGCAGCAGCAGCAGCAACAGCAGCAGCAGCAGCAGCCATTGAGTGTGTGTGAGGACGCAATCGGGGAAGTTGGAAGCTTAGGATGCGAAAATGCCAGAAGCCGCCAAGACAACGCGCAGCAGAAAAGGCAGAAGCCGCTGCTGCAGCGCGAAGCACTACAAAGGAGCGCCCGCAGAAGCCCTTTTGAAGCTGCAACATTTATTAATTTGCAAATAAAGCATTTTAAGAAAGTTTAAAACTAAATAAACTTTGCTGCTGCAGCAGACAGCGCAGGGTGTTGGGGCCAGGTGTGCCCCAGTCCGTGGGCTTCCTGCACCGGTGGCTAGCTGCCGCCGGCGCAGCGCGGGCCCGCGAAACTTGAACGGAAAAACTTGAATTTTCTCTTTTAAATGCTTTATTTGTTTCTTTCGGAGCTAATTGAGCTCGAAGACACTGCTGTAGGCAGCAGGGAAAGCCAGCAGCGGCGAGGCGAGGCCGCAACTCGCTGCAGCTGCAGACACAGCAACGGGAGATCAAGGCGGCGGGAAGCCAGCTGGCGGGGCTGGAACCGAAACAAACTCCGACGCATTGTCGAATAAAAAGTTGAATAAAAACAAAACGAATTTCAAAGGGAAATTGCGCTGTTCTCTTCTGCACACAAAGTCCATTTTCAATGAACAGCAGCAGCTGCAGTCCGCCCCAGCAGCCGCAGCAGCCAGAAGCCAGCAAGCCACAGCAGCAGCAAAACGCCAAACCCTCGGCGTTTTAAATATGAAAAATCAATTAAATTTAATTAATTAATTTAAAAAGAAAAACAGATTTACAGATAAGCCAATAAATGCGCGGGGATTCGGCGCCCCTCCACGGTGCTGCCGCCAGGCCGCCCGCCGCCTCCGCCGGTCCGCAGCAGCAGATCTGCACACTTCCCCTTCGCCTCTTCGCCAGAAGATTTCAAAAATAAAAATTAATCCAAAAAAGAAAATTAATTAAAAGAGGGAAAATCAATTCGTTTAATTCTCTGCAGAAAACTGCGCAGGCGCTGCAGCCAACCGCAGGCGGAGGCGAAGCAGTTTGCTGCTACTACTGCTGCTGCTGCTGCTGCAGGATCTGCTGCCAGCAGGCAGCAGCCAAAGCCCCCGCCAGCCCTGCAGCTGTTTCGCGGCAGCAATTAGAAGAAAATGTTCTTTTTTATTTGAAATAACTTATTTTGCATTTTTAATTCCTTTCAATTCTTCAAAAAGATGAATTTCTCGCACTCTACAACCCCACCAACGCGGGGTTGGTGTAGTGGTTATCACGTCTGCTTTACACGCAGAAGGCCGCGGGTTCGAACCCCGCACCCCGTACTTTCTGCGCGTTTCTGCTGGCGTTGCTGCTGCTGCTGTTCTTCTTGCAGCTGCTGCTGTTGTTGTTGCTGCTGCTGCTCCCGTTGTTGCTGCTTCTGCTGTCGCTGCTGCGGTGGAGGGGCGCCTTTCCTTTGCGGCAGCAGCAGCAGCAGCAATAAAAAGGCGCCCCTCCACCGGGCGCCCTTCCTTTCCTGCAGCAGCAGCAGCCTTGCTGCTGCTGCAGCACCCTTGCGGCTGCAGCTTTGCTGCAGCAGTAAACGCATTCGCCTTTATTCAGAAGCCTCTGGGCTAGTTCTTGGGACTTCGAGTAAAAGCCTGCATTCTAATTGCTTCTAGAGTTAAGCATTTGCCTTCGCTGCAGCACAGAGCTGCAGCAAAATGCTGCAGCAAAATGCTGCAGCAAAACGCTGCAGCACAAGTGACTCAGAGTGGAAGTTTGAAGCAAAAGTTGCAGAAAGAAAACAGAAATAAACACAAGTGCCCTTTGGGGCCTCGAGAGAGGCTGCAGCAAAGCCATTAACAACTGTAGATGCTGCTGTGTCTGGCAGCAGGCCTTTATGCGCTGCAGCTGCTGCTGCTGCTGCAGGTGCTGCTGCTGCTGCTGCCGCTGCGTTTACTGCCGCTGCGTTTGCTGCCGCTGCGTTTGCTGCCGCCGCTGCCACTGCAGCGACCCCACAGCCCCGCAGCAATTTCCCTTGGCCGTAGTTATGCTGGCGAAACTGCAGCCTGAAGTCCTGCTTCAGAATTCGCTGCAGCTTACGCTGCTGCTGCTGCTGCTGCTGCTGGGTCTGCAGCTTCCCTGGGAAGTAATGCGACCAGCAATCCGCTGCTGCTGCTGCTGCTGCCGCCGCTGCTGCTGCTGCCGCTGCTGCACGGCCGTGCGGCGATCTCCCGCACCCGCTGCTGCAGCGCAACGTGACTGCAGCAAAGCGAGCAGCAGCAGCAGCAGCAGCAGCTTGTTTAGCAGCAGCTGTAGCTGCGCAGCAGCTTGAGATCCCGCGAGGGCAGCTGCAGCGCGTGCTGCTGCTTCGGGATCTGTTTGCAAATAAGATTTGAATTTTCCTTGAATTTCTTTTTGTTTTTAATTTATTTAATTATTTAATTATATAATTTATTTAATTTGTTTAATTCAAGAATTCCTGCAAGAGGGAAAAGTGATGCCGCCGCATGATATCATTCCAATGATGACGCAGATCATCTGAACGAGCGCAGACGACAGCAGCAAACTGGCGCTGGAAAGGAGTTTGAATGGATTCAAAAGTGTTTTATTTTGATTTAAAAGTATTTTATTTTAATATAAAAGTATTTAAAAAGTACTTTTGTTCCATTTTAGATCAACTTCTGCAAACCTACAGACAAAATCCCCAAAATCATTCCAATGATCCGCGCGTTGCGCCACCACAGCGCGTTCTTCAGCCGCCGCGCCTGCAGCAGCAAAAGCCCCACTTGGAAACACGTTTGCTGCAGCAGCAGCAGCAGCAGCAGCAGCAAACCTGCTGCTGCTCTCAGCTGCAAGGCAACGGGATGGCTGTCGAGGAGTCAGTTCAAAACGCAAAACTGCTGCTGCTGCCGCAGCAAGCCTGCAGCAAGCCTGCACGTCAAGCAGCAGCTCCTAAGCTCTGCTTCTGGAACCCTAACCGCAGCATCAGCAGCAGCAGTAGCAGCAGCAGCAGCAGCAGGACCTGGCGCCTGAAGGTGACGGCCTCTTGGTTGAGCTGCTCAGACTGATCCACCAGCAAGTCAATCCGCTCTCCCCGCTGCAGGATTTTGTCTGCAAAGAAGCAGCAGCTCCAGCCGCAGCAGCAGCGATGCAGCGCAGCAACTAGCAGCAGCAGCAGCAGCAGCAGCAGCAGCAGCAAAGCCCCACCTATGCTGTCAATCATCACAGAATGAATGCCATCAATCTGCGTCCTAATCTGCCGGAAGTCGCCCAGGCTTTGGTGGCTGTTGAACGAGTCCTGCACGCCCAGGCGAAACGCCTCTATTGCATCCTGCTGCTGCTGCTGCTGCTGCTGCTACTGCTGCTGCTGCTGCTGCTGCAAGTTTATACCTCTAATCGGCACTCACGAATAATGTCTTCAGAGTGGACTCGAAAGTGCCCTGCAGAGATAATGCTATACCCGTTTCTGCTGCTTCGCGGTGCTGTGGCAGGAACCTGCAGCAGCAGCAGCAGCAGCAGCAGAAGCAGCGCAAACCACCCTAATGACATCAAAAGTGGGAAGTGCCTCATAAGCAGAATAGACAGAAGCAGCAGCAGCTCCTAAATCCCCAGCAGCAAAGAACCAGCAACCTCAAGCGCAGCAGACGCACCGATCATAGCAGCAGCAGCAGCAGCAGCAGTAGATGCAGCAGCAAAAACAGCAGCAGTAGCAGCAGCAGCAGCGCGTGGATGCAAAAAGCAATTAAAACGACAGCAGCACTGGACGCAAAATAGCACCACAAAAGCTAGCTACTGCAGCAAAACTCAGCAGCAGCAGCAGCAGCACAGGAAGAAGTACCCACAAAATCAGCAGCAGCAGCAGCAGAACAGGCAGCACCAGCTTCGCCCAAGACACGAGCAGCAGCAGCAGCACAAGCAGCAGCACCCAGGACATAAAGAACAGCAGCACAACGGCAGCAGCGCCCGATACAGCAACAGCAGCAGCCCCAACAGCAGCAGCAGCAGCAACAGCAGCAGCAGCACCAACAGCAACAGCAGCAGCAACAGCAGCAGCAGCAGCAGCAGCAGCACGCACTGCTGCTTGACTGCCTCCAAGAAGGCGAAGGGCAGCGCAAAGCCGGCGCTGTCGTCGGCCATGGTGAGGAAGGTGATTCCATCGCGCACAATATAGTGAAACACAAACCTGCAGCAGCAGCAGCAGCAGCAGAAGCAGCAGCAGCAGCAGTAGAAGCAGCAGCAGCAGCAGCAGGAGTGGCGGCGTCGTTTTTCGGGGCCGTGAGCCGCTGCAGCGCGCAGGCCCGAGCCCTACTGCGTGCGCAGCTGCTGCAGCTGCAGCAGCAGCGGCAGCAGCAGCAGCAGCAAAAGACTTCTGAGGAAAAGGGAAAAAGAAAGCACCTATCATAAATGTAAGACATGCGCTGCTTGTTGGTGGGCAGCCGACACAGCAGCAGCCGCGTGACTGTGGGGAAGTTTCCTTCGCTGTCTGCGTGCTCGCAGAGCACCACGTTGTCTGCAGCAGCGCCAAACAGCAGCAGCAGCAGCAGCAGCAGCAGCACGCAGTAGCAGCAGCAGCAGCAGCTGCAGCAGCCGCGGCGAGCCAGCTAGCAGCTGCGGCAGTGCAGCTGCTGCCGCGGCGACTGCAGCGGCAGCAGCGGCTGCAGCAGTGGCAGCAGCGGCTGCGGCAGCCGCAGCAGTGCGGCAACAGCAGCAGCTGCAGCGGCAGCAGCAGCAGCAGCAGCAGCAGCGGGAGCAGCAACTGCAGCAGACGCGCTAGCTTCGGGGCTCACCCTTCGCGATGAGGGCGTATATGAGCGGCATGGTGGGGCCCCTCCTTCCGCTGGGGCTAAACCCTAAAATGGCGTTTGGCTCTAAAGCCTCGCGGTGGCCCCGAATCCTGAACGACAGACCCCAAGTCCTAAACCCTCGGCGCTAAATTAAAACGCCGCGCCATCAAAACCCCTGAATAGTTTTTAAAATGGCCTTTTGTTTATCTTTTAATGCACAAAAAGGCGGCGAGAAGGCGCGCAGGGCATGCGGCGGGGGCCCCCCGTGCAGCAACACCCCGAAAGCCTGGCCTTGAAAGCCCGGCCCTGGACCCCCTAGAGCGGGAGAAAAAGTGTTTTTGGTGTTTTTAATTCGAATATAAACCCGAAATCGGCAGAAGGAGCTCAACAACCCAAACACAAGTCTTTTCTGCACACTGCAGGCGAAGAGCCGGCGCCAGCAGAGCGCCCGCGGCAGCAGCCACAAAGGGCCACGCGCCCGCGTTTGGAGTTGTTGTTTTATTCTTTTTTAATGACAATTCTTTTATTGAAAACCATAAATGTTCTTCGTAATGCCAGTTTCAGCTTTTTGCAGCAGCTGAAGCTCTGAAGGACAAACCGAGCTTCGGAAGACTGGAATGCCCAGCGCACTGCAGCAGCCGTTGAGAACGGAATTCAACTTTCTGCTTTTTGCGGAAAAACTCCAAATAATGAATTAAAAGGACAATTCAAGATAAATAATTATGAATTTCGCAGCCAGGGTTGTGTCTATTTCCCAGGGATGCCGCGATCCGCCAGGTTCCTCGAACCAAACAACTCAGTTTAAGTACCTGCACTTCGCAGCAGCAGCAGCTGCTGCGCTGCTGCGCTGCTGCGCTGCTGCTGCCAGAATGCAGCAGCCAGCAGCAGCACAAAGCTATTTAAATAGGATTTGCTGCAGCGACAGCCCTTAGAAGCTTCCTGGAGTTGCTGCAGGCCATTGGCCGCAGCCAAAGGGTCACCAGGGGAGGCAGCAGCCTCAGGGGGTGTTGCAGCAGAGAGATTTTGGAGTCTTTTGGTATTCTGAAGATTGCTGAAGCTGCATTTAACATTTAAAAATACTTTCAAACACTTTTTATGCAGAAGAAAGCTCGCGATCCCACTCGTTCTGCTGCTGCACGTCTTGCAGTGCTGTTAGTGTCCATAGGGAAGAGTTTCTCTGGCCAAAGAAAGCCATTTCTGCATATTTCAAATTCACCTTTTCAGCAGTTTCTTGACCACTGGTCTGGTCCACCCCTTAGCAGCAAAGTCCACTGGCGGCAGCAGCAAGACATGCGGAAATTGAATTACCCCTTTTGCGCTGCTTCCCTGAATCTGAACTGGCATTCTGGGCAGCTGCAGCAAGCCCGACCTGCTGCCTGTTCAGCAGCCCTACAGCAGCAGCAGCAGCAGCGGCAGCAGCACCAGCAGGAGAGTGTAGCAGCTCCGCTGCAGCAGCGCCAACTGAAGAGCCACTCAAGAGCAGCAGCTGATAACGAGCGGTTGCTGCTTGCATGCTGGGGCTGCAGGGGGTGGTTTTGCTGCTGCTGCTGCTTTTCAATTATAAGAAGTGGAAACGAAATTAAAAGTTTAATTAGTGTTCACGGAGTCCACAATTTGGGAAAGCTTTGCTGCGCTGCAGCAGCTGCGAGTGACAAAAATAGCAGCAAGCGGAACAACGTGACTACGTGGCTCAAACGGTGCTGCAGCTGCCGCAGGGGATCCTTTGCTGCTGCTGCAGCAGCTGCTGCAGCAGCTGCTGCATTCGGCTGCTGGTGTGGGGAGATCAGCTGGTGCAGCAGCAGGGAAGCCGCTGCTGCTGCAGCTGCTGCAGCGGGTGCTGCTGCAGCAGGAGAGGCAGCAGGGATCATTTGGCTCCCGAGCCGCGGATCTCCCGAACAAAAAAATAATAAACAATAATCAGTGAATAAATAAATAAATAAAGGACTCAAAGCAAAGCTATTGCTGCGAGAAGCAACTCATTGCGGGGCCCCACCTGGGTGAGGAGTGTTCGGATCTGTTTGCTTCTTTGTTTCTTTCGGGCTTCGAAAGCAGCGCGGTTCTGCTGCTGCTGCTGCTGCGCTGCAGCAAGGACCACTGGTGTGGACCAGTGGTGCGCGAGCTGCTGCGCCTGCTCCTCGCGCTGCAGCAACTCCGCGTTTGCTGCTTCCAGCGACAGCTGGGAAGCAGCACTTGCAAGTTCTTGAGTTGGGAACCAGCTGTCTGAACAGGGGACTTTGTAGGCCTCGAAAGCCACGGAGTTTTGAAAAGGAAAAGCGTTAAAAGCTTCGAAAAAGGAAAAGAAGTCGCTCTTCACTGCGTAGTCGTTCACAGTGTTTCGCGTCGGCGCAGCAAACAGCAACTCGAACTTCTTCGCCAAGTCCGCGTTTACTGTGCTTTCCGGGAGACCAGTGGTCACGGGGATTCCCAGGGACAAGAGGAAGTCTGCTGCTGTCACTCCTGGCTTTTCTGCTCCCGAAAGAGCTGCGGAAGCAGCAGCAGACTCCAAAAAGCTGCTCTCCCACTCCTGCTGCTGCTGCTGCAGCCCCGCAGCAGCGCGCAGCGCCTGCAGACTCTCCAGGTCCTTCAGCCGGCTGTTTGCTGCGCTGCAGACGGCCCGCAGCAGCAGCAGGTGCAGCGCGAAGTCTGTCTGCGCCTTTTTGCTGCTGTCCGGCGGAAACGGGCAGTTGCGCACGGCCTCCACTTGCTGCCGCAGCAGCACCAGCAAATCCGGACCCCCGGGCTCCGAAAGAAGCCCCCAGTAAGTGTAAAGGTCTTCAAATTCTCTTTTCACAAAGTCTGAAGACAGCCGCCAACGAGACTGGAAAGTCCGCAGCGCTTTCTCGACATCGCTTAAGTACCAGCCCAGGCGGAGGCTGCTGACTTCGACTGCGGGCTTTCCCGCAGATCCCGCGGCCCCAGAAGCCCCAATCGCCGCCAAAATTGCAAATTCAACTAATACTTGCAAAAACATCTTTCAAAAATCCACAAACTGCTCGAAAACACACAAGATCGACGCAAGTTCAACACTCCGATTCGCGGAAACGCGGCGCCCAGCCTTCGCGTCTCGAGACAGCCCGCCAGGTAGCCCGCGGCTCTTCTTTTTCCGCTCAAAAACAAATAAAATGTATTTTAAATAAACCTGCTTTTTTTCTCCGAGAAACTCGGAGTTTCACTGACACTTCCGAGCAGCTTTCCGCAGCTGCTTCGCTGCGCAAGACCCTCCTGCCGCTTACAGTGCGCCCCCAGGGGACGATCGATGCGCAAAAAGATACACAGAGAGACCCGAAATTCCTAAACTTCAATTAACTATGAAATAAAAGCAGATGCATGCAAGAAGGAGCTGAAGACGCCGTGCCAGAGCGTCATCACGCTGCGGCGTCCGCGGGCTTGCAGTGCGAAAAGCGAAATGGCTGCGCGGGACCGCAGCGCTTGGACTTCTGCAAAAACCAGCCTCTGCAAAAACAAAACCCCAAACGAATATTCACTTTTGGAGAGGAAGAACCATTCCTGATGAAGAACTGCCTCTTTTGCAGCGGACAAGGCCTCGGAAGATCTGGGGCTGGCAGTGCTCGCTGCTCCGCCAGCAGTCAGTCACACGCGCGGGAGAAAGGCGGAAAAAGTCTCTTTGTGCTGCATAGAACTCAAAAACAATAAGACTATTTCATTTAAATGAATATTTCTTCGCTTTCACTGCAATTCAAAGACAGTGCAGATAGGCAGCCAGTAAGAAAAGCCAGACAGCAGCGCAGCCAGGCCTAGCCAGCAGCCCCCCGTGTGCCAGATCCCGCTGCTGCAGCTTCAAGTTGCAATCTAATAAAACATTTAAATTGAATTTTAAAATGTTTTTTAATTTTAAACTCAATCTGCAACAAAAAAACTGAATTTACTTTTATTTCTTTCTCCGCGGGCTCCGCATGTACACCTGAACTTGTTTTGTAGCCTCCCTGACTTGGCTCAACAAGTACAGCATGAAGTGGAAGTTTTAAAAGATTTTGCTGCAACTTTTTCGTTTATTTAAAACCTTTTCAGTTTTTTTAAACAAATTAACATTTGTCAATTAAAAGAAAGGAAGAAAAAGAGCAGAGAGGCTCTAGAACTGAAAACTGAAAAGGAAAAATTAGGGCAAATTTGGCTGAGGCCCTTTCTTGCTGCTGCTGCTGCTGCTGCTGCTGTTGCTGCTGCTGCTGCTGCTGCTGCTGCTGCTGCTGGCTTGCCTTTTTCTTGAGTCTTTTCCTGCTGTGTTGCTTTTCTAGAGTTGCTGCTGCTGCTGCTAGTGGCTTGCCTTCTTGTCCTGCTTTTGTTGCTGCAACGCTTGGTGCTGCTGCCGTTGGGGAATCTGCAGTAGCAAAACCACAAGTGAAATCTCAAAAGGATAAAAAAGCAAAACCCCGAAACTTTCTTAACTCAAAATCTGCCAAATATTCTCTTTGCATGCATGCGCATGCAAAGCAGCTGAGAAGCAGCAAATGAATTCAAAGCCGCACTGAGGGAGCTGCCAGACGCAGTTGCATCCACTCAGAACTCTACCTAAACCCTAAACCCTAAACCCTAAACACTAAACCCTAAACCCTAAACCCTAAACCCTAAAGGTTTCGCTCAGCTGTCACTGCCTCTGCAGTAGCCGAAAATCGTAAACCTCAGCCTTAATTCCCCACCGCGGTGTATTGCCAACCCTAAACCCTAAACCCTAAACCCTAAACCCTAAACCCTAAACCTTAAACCCTAGCTTAGCGAGGCGCCCGTTAACCTGTCCACGGGGAAACTTCCATTCTTTTGCAGCTAAGGTTTAATTGGACTTAATTGAACTACTCCTCCAGCATTAAATCACGAAATATATTAATTTAAAATGAGAATAATAAAATAATTCGAGAAAAATAGCTCAAGAAGTTCGAAGTTGAACTCTCCCTGAAAAATATCCATTTCGAGCGCCACAGGCTTTCTTTTCATTCCAAAAGAGCTTTTAAATACTTTTATTTTTTTGAATTACACAATTACAATTAAATACTTTTTTTGCGATTTTTAAATGCAAAATTACAATTTTTTAATTATTCGTTCCGAAGTTTTTTTCTTGGCTGAAACCACCCCTGGGAAGGGCCCGCACTGAGTTCAACAAGAGGAACCTCGGGCTATTTTTCATCAATTTCTGCATTTCTTTTGACTAAAATACCTCCTTTTTAGATTTGAATGTTCTTAAAAGATGCAAATTAAATTAAAAGATAATCCTGCTTCCCTTTAGCAGCTCGCCGAGCTGTCCGAGCTTCTTCGGAAGCAGCCTTTTGCTGCTTTCCTCTGCTGCAGCAGCAAACATCTAAATACTCTACAGATTGTGCTGCAGCAGCAACAGAACTTTTAATTCATTTTAATTTTATTTTTGAACTTAATTTTCTTTCAATTCTCTTTTATCAGCGCCTCAGTTCCCCAGTGCTGCCGCCCGGCTTACTGAAGGCACTGGGAGCTCCGCAGCCAGTTTGATATTTTCTTGATTGAATTGCGTGTTTTTTGTTATTTTAAAAGCCTAATAATCTACAAATACTATTTCTAATGTCAAAATAATTTTTTTCCAGCGATAAAGCTGCTGCTGGGCAGCAGGCGTTGCTTATTGGCTTTTATTTCAAAGAGCTGTGCTCAGCCGGCCTTCGTCCAAGGGAAGCTGCACTTACACTCCGGCCTGAGCCCCATTAAATAACCACGAAAAAGGAAATATAAAATTATTTATTATTATTTATCATTTAATTGAATGTTAGAACGGAAACAGCAAAGAAAAGGAAGCCTCAGGCCCTGAGATCTTCCCGAAACGACGTCGTCATATCCTCTTTCAGGAGTTGTATGCAGCTTTCCGAACAAGATCTGCTGCAGGCGTTGCTCATTTAAAGCTTTTTAAGAAATCTTAAAGGCCCTTTTTGCAAATTGAAACTCCAAATCGATTAAATGCAAAATAAAATCCGCGCCGAGCCTCGCAGGCATTCAGGAGGCTGTTGGAGGCGTTCGGACTTGTGCTTTTTCCAGGTTAGAAGTTCCCTTTTGAAGTGAAACATGAATAAAAATAAGAAATATAATGTTTGCAGTGCAAGTGCTTAGTTTTGGAAGCAGATTAGAAGGGTATTTCCCAAGATATTTTGGCAAAGTTGAAGAGCCCTTTGCCCCTTTTTCTGCTTCTTGCCGGCATTTGTTGAACACCATTTGCTGCAAAGCCCCCAAATATGTTTTTTGAAGAGGCAGAAGCACTTTCGGCGAAAGTTGCTGCTGCAGCAGAAGTTCATTTGGGGCAACTTCAGACGCCTTGTGGCTCTTTTTGGAGGCTTTTTTCGCTCCATTTCCTAAAATAGTCAAAAATGAATTTCCCAAAAGCTCTAGGGTTTAAAAATGCATTTAAAACGAGTTCTGAAGTCCCAGAAAGAAGCTACAAAGGGTTTTGGACTTGCACAAGCCTCCTTTCCAGTTTTGACAGGGAACTCAAAATGCAAAATGCTGAACTTCAGGACTTTTTTTGAGCCCCCAGTGACTTTAGACACTCTAAAAACTCAAAACAAACGATTAATTTGAATTATTTGCGTTTAAACTCCGCAAAAAGAGGGAAAATGCCTGCGAGGCACACCCGCCTATCCGAAGTGAGCAGGGGCGGCGGCGCCTCTGAGGAATTGTGCAGGAAACAGCACTCAAATAGAGCCTAAAGGGCTTTTATTTACGTAAAATATCTCTTTTTATTTAGAAGACAAAGTGTGGAGTTGCAAAAAAGAAGATATTTGCGCGTTCAGCTTTCCGCACAGAGTGGACGGGCGGCGGTGGAAACTTGTCTTCTCCACAGCCCAAACTTCGAGAAAACGAATCTTTTTACTGTTAAAAAGAATTGAAAAGTATATTCTTTGCAAATAAGTCGAGTTTGCCCCGCGTTATACCCCCAGGTGGGCCCCACAGAGCTCTGCCTGCTGCGCTCGCGGGTGCCTGTGAGTTCCGCAGCCTCGCGCCCCTCTTTCTCCTCGTCTCCGCGGGAAAAAGACGAATTTGCAGCAAAAAACAATTTTTTATTTGCAAATAATTCTCGAAAAAAGGCAGGGGCCGCCAGAAAGCTGCGCTGCTGCAGCAGGAGTGACCGCAGGTGACCCCCACCCCGTCGCGGCTCTTTACGGACCCAGCCACGCCCATGTAACTTTTTGCTGCTCTTTTTTGCTGCTATTTGATAAGGCACAAGTACCATTTTAAGTAGATTCTGGGGTGTACGTACACCGCAGCTCGCGATGGAGAGCTGCAACCGTCGCCAGCTGCAGCTCCGCCCCAAAGCGCCTTCGCTCTTCTCTATGCAGCAAACACTAGGAGTCCCAGCAGCAGCAAGAGGGGCTCCTGCAGCAGCAGACCTTTCAAGTCTGCGTTTTAGGGGAGGAGGAGGCTTTAGGGGACCCCGCACAGACTCTCCCAGTCAACTGCTGCAGCAGCAGCAGCTGCAGCAGCAGCTGCAGCACCAGCTGCACCAGCAACGCAGTGCCTGTTCCCCGCATCAACCTGCAAAAAGACACACCGCAGTTGACATGCCGGCAGCAGCAAACGAAGGGGCGACAGCAGCGGCGGCACCAGCTGCAGCAGCAGCGACAGCTGCAGCAGCAGCTTCAGCGGCCGCAGGGGCTGCAGCAAATGCTGCAGCAGGAGCAGCAGCAAAGGCAAAACAAAACAGCACATTGTGCTGCGGTGACAGCGTGCTGAAGATCCGCACTGCTGCCACCAGCTCAACAGCAGCGGCAGCAGTTGCAGCAGCAGCAGCAGCAGCAAATCCAGCTGCAGCATCAGCGTCAGCCTATTTAGAGCGGATTTCTACTCGCCCCAAGACTTTCCTTTTAATTGCTGCTGCACTGCTGCTATCTCTGCAATGCTTCGGCTGCACTGCAGCAGCAGCAGCAGCAACTCAGGGCGCTGCAATACCGCAGCAGCAAATGCTGCAGCAGACGATAGACAGAGGGCTGCAGCCGCTGCCTCCGCTTGCAGGGGCTGGGCAGAACTTGCTTCAGCAGCAGCTGCTGCAGCAGCAACAGATAACCCGACGCGCGCAGCAGCAGCACCAGCTGCAGAAACAGCAGCTGCTGCAGCAGCAACAGCTGCAACTCATTAACCAACAGCAGCAAGGCCAACGTGTCCCCGTGGCATTGGGACAACAAGTAGGTCAGCAGGGGGGTCCGCTGCTGCAGCAGCAGCTGCTTCAGCAGCAGCTGCAGCAGCAGCTGCAGCAGCAGCAGTTGCAGCAGCAGCTGCTACAGCAGCAGCAGCTACAACAGCAGCTGCTGCAACAGCAACAGCAGCAGGGGCTGACACCCTTCCAGCAGCAACAGTTGGAGCAACTCCTTCAGAAACAGCAGCAACAACCGCAGCTGCAGCAGCAGCAACCGCAGTTGCAGCAGCAACAGCCTTCTGGCCAGTTTGACCAGCAGCAGTGGCAGCGATTGGAACAGCAGCAACTGCTGCAGCAGCAGCAGCTGCAGCGGCTGCAGCAGCAGCAGCAGTTTCTCCAACAGCAAGCATGGCAGCAGCAGCAGCTGCAGATGCAGAACCAGCCCCCGTATCGGGCCGCACTCAGAGCTATGGACACTCCTGCTGCTGCTGCTGCTGCTGCTGCTGCACCAGCTCCCAGCGCGCCGCTATCTCCTGCTGCAGCAATTTTAGTAAAGAGCCTCCGAGGGGTCTTGGGAGATCTCTCAAGCAGCAGCAGCGCGTTGTCTGTGGAACAGCTGACATCTCTTGTGCTGCAGCACCTGCCGCTGCAGCAGCAGCGGCAGATATATTTGCAGCTGCAGCAGATGCTGGGGCCTGAGCAGCAGCCGCAGCAGCAGCAGCTGCAGCAGCAGGCGCAGGCGGCGCCGCTGCAGCAGCTGCGGCAGGGCCAGCAGCAGCAGCCGCTGACGGCGCAAGAGGCCACAGACCTCACGAAAGCCACAGCCCTAATGTCAGCAGCAGCAGCAGCAGCAGCAGCAGCAGATGAAGAACTAATAGCTGGGCAAAGCGCAGACCAGTGCCTCCCCACAGAATGCCTCAGCAGCATTCAGGGGGGGCCTCCAGTCTGTGGGTCGGATGGAATAACCTATGAGAGCAGGTGTGCTTTGCTGCAGAAGGCCTGCAGCAGCAGCAGCAGCAGCAGCAGCAGGGGCGTGAAGCTTTCGGTGCAGCACGAAGGGCCTTGTTCGGGGCCGCAGCAGCCCCAGCAGCAGCTACAGCAGCAGCAGCTGCAGCAGCAGCTACAACAGCAACAGCTGCAACAGCAGCAGCTGCAGCAGCAGCAGCTCCAGCAGCAGCTGCTGCAGCAGCAGCGCCTACAGCCACAGCCGCTGCAGCAGCCACTGCAGCAGCACCTACTACCCCAGCCACAACCGCTGCCGCTGCCGCAGCAGCCGTTACAGCCCCAGTTGCCGCTGCAGCAGCAGCTCCAGCCCCAGCTGCAGCAGCCCCAGCTGCCACAGCAGCCGCTGCAGCAGCAGCCCCAGCTGCCACAGCAGCCGCTGCAGCAGCAGCCCCAGCTGCCACAGCAGCCGCTGCAGCAGCAGCTGCAGCAGCAGGCATTTCGCGTTCGGGGCACCGCCCTTGCCCGTGCGACCAGCACCACGACGGCGCCCCCTGCTGCGCTGCAGGGCCCCCACCCCCAGCCGCAGCAGCAACAGCAGCAGCAGCAGCAGCAGCAGCAGAAGCACCGCAGGTGCAGACTGGAGTGCCCCTCCGGGGGCGTGCGTGTCTGCGGCAGCGACGGGCAAACTTATGCAAACGAATGCGAACTAATAGCTTATGCATGTCTGCAGCAGCAAGACATAAGCCTGAAGCACATGGGGCCTTGTCTGAAAGCAGCAGCAGCAGCAGCAGCAGCAGCAGCAGCGCCTGCTGCCGACGCTGCGCCGCCCCCAGAGGCGGAGGACGCTGAACGGGGCAGCAGCAGCAAACCCAAAAGTGCTGAGTGAAGCTGCAGCAAAACGAACACTTGATGTGCACTGATGTGCAGACACAACAGTAACTGCCGCTGCTGCTGCTGCTGCTTCTGCTGCTGCTGCTTCTGTTGCCGCTGCCGCTGCTGCAGCTTCTACTGCAGTAGAGGCAGCTTCTCCTGCTGCTTCCGACACTGCCTCTGCTGCTGCTGCTGCGTTTGCTGCTGCTTCTGCCTTTGCTGCTGCCGCTGCTTCTGCTGCCGACTCCGTCACAAAGCCCTGCACTGCAGCAACAGCAGCAGCACAGCAGCAGCAAAGGCCGCAGCAAAAGTTCATGAACACTTCATCTTACGAGATCTTTAGCAGCCCCCTGACACACACTACCATGCAGCAGCAGCTGCTGCTGCTGCTGTTGCTGCACAGCAGCAGCAGCAGCAGCAGCCACTCCATGTTGCGCAGCTCAAGCATCGACGCAGCTAGCTTGCTGCGCGCGCTGCTGCGCCGCCACTGCTGCAACTGCTGCTGCTGCTTCCCGGGAGGCCCCCCCAACTGCAGCAGCAGCAGCAAGTGCAGCAGCAGCAGCAGCAAGTGCAGCAGCAGCAGCAGCAGCAGCAGCAGTGGCTGATGCATTATGAAGGGAGCACCCAAATGCTAGAGGGCTTTTCGCTCTCTGGAAAACACTAGCGAACAGGTTCTGGTGTATGTACACCCCAAGTAACTCTAAACAGTAAATTCGCCTGTTTATTTGTGTGTGCAAAAAAGATGAATTCTAAACCCTGAACCCTAAACCCTAGACCCTAAACCCTAGATTGTAGACTCTGGACTACACTTTTTGCTTTAAGTATTTTGAATAGAATTCTGTGGGGGCGCAAAGCCAGCGGAGCTGCACCAGGTGTACATATACCCCAATGCAACAAGCACAATATTCTTTTACCGTCTTAAATGCAAATTAAATATTTATCTAAATTGATTTTAAATGATTTAAATGCAAAAATGAATTTGAATGCAACCTGAAGACATTCAAAGTTTCCTTTTGTTTCAAATATTTTCATTTTCACGTCTTTGTTGCTGCAGCACTGAGCTGCTGCGGTGTACAGACACTGCAACCCTGGCATGAATAAATGTTAATTTCTGCATGTGAAAGCTCATTTGTTTAAATTAAAAATATCTTTGCATGCAGAAACTATTCTTTTGCAATAATGAAATAAAATAAATGTGCAAAGGCGTTCTAAAATGCGCAAAAGAAAAGGCGAAATGCTTGCTTCTTCAGATGTATGTACACCAAAAAGCACAAAGTTTCAATTCTTTCTTCAAATACATGCAAGGATATAAATTTAGAAGAAATGATCAGACATACATATCTGTATATATATATACATTTATATATGTATATATATATATATACATATGCATATATATATATATATACATCAAAAAACATATATGCATTAATGTGCTATTATATATATAATAAATGTAATAAGAACAGATGTAATACTTTTAGTGCCCAATTGTAAATTAGTCTCTAAAAGGCCCTTTTGGCTTCCATGGGCCCCCAGAAGGCCCCTTTGGGGTTTTGGGGGCCTTGAGGGGGCCTCCAAAGGGCCCCCATCGCTTTGGGGGGGCCTCCCTATTGCTGCTGCTGCTTGCTGCTGCTTGCTGCTGCATGCTGCTGCTTGGGGCCCCCTTGCTGCTGCTGCTGCTGCTGTTGCTGCCGCTGCTGCTGCGCCAGTGCCCGCCTACGAGGCCTTGGGGGCCCCTTGGGGGCCCCTGGTTGGAGAGAAAAGCTGCAAGTGGGAAAAAATAAGAAAGAAATAAATGAAATAAAAGTGTTTGATGATAAAAATAATTTAAACGAAATTATATTAGTTTAATTGTTCTAATTTAATTGCAAATTAAATAAAACAATTAAACTCCAGAGGCCCCCCAGAGAATTTGAAATGGAAATCAGCAGCAGCAAAATAAAAAAAAATATTTATTTAAAAAGAAGTTTAAACAATTTAATTTTAAAGTATGAATCATTTTATTTAATCAAAAATATTGAAAACCTTTTAATGCAAAGTAAATTAATTGATTGGCCTCACATGAAACCCCTGTAAAGCCGCTAAGCCGCGGGCCAGCAAACCCTGAACCCTAAACCCTAAACGCTAAACCCTAAACCCTAAACCCCAAACCCCAAACCCTACCTAAACCCTAAACCCTAGTCGCACAAGGTCACTAAATCGACGGCCAGTGCCAACGCATGCGGCCTGTGTTGAGCTGAAGAAAGAAGAGCGAATTCAGAACTTGTTACAAGTTTAAAAAGCGCCTAAACCCTAAACCCTAAACCCAAAACCCTAAACCCTAAACCCTAAACCCTAGGGTGCACGGCCGCTCCGCGCACCCTCGAGATCTGCAAATGGCCTTCTGCGGTGGCCAAAGAAGAACAAAAAATATTTAAATAAATCCATTGTAATTAAAAATGTTATTTAATAGCAAAATGTAGTTATTTTAAGCCCGGATTTAGGGTTTAGGGTTTGCAAACCCCAAACCCTAAACCCTTAACCCTAATCGCCGCACAGCACCGTCTCACCGCCTCGTGTGCGTTGGGCTGTGCTGTCCGAGTCCCCTCAAACCCTAAACCCTAAACCCTAAACCCTAGGCGCCCGTCCCCAAGCCCTAAACCCTCAACCTAAACCCTAAAGCTAAACCCTAGTGTTTCATTTCGCTGTGTCTTTTTCTCTCCCTGTGTTTTCGTGTGCAGCGCCCTCTCGCCGCCTGCTGCTAGGGTTTAGGGTTTAGGGTTTAGGGTTTAGGGTTTAGGGTTTAGGTTTCGAAGCTCCCCAAGCCACAAACAGCGTCTTGCACATCCCGTTTGTTGCTGTTGGAGCTTCTAGCTGTCGTTTGGTTGTAAACCCTTGCTGCCTCGTTAGCAGCAGCAGCAGCAGCAGCAGCAGCAGCAGCAGCACGAAATGGACTGGCTTCACCCCGACATTGGATCTAGAAACCCTAAGCCCTAAACCCTAAACCCTAATTCCGCAGTGTGCTGCAGTCTTTGCGCTTTGTTGTCTTGGGGGTCTTGCTGCAGCCGACAGGCAGCAGCAGTGGAGCAGCAGCAGCAGCAGCAGCAGCGGCTACGGCAGCAGCAACAGCAGCAGCAGCAACACCAACGGCTTTACTATGGATATATTTCGATTGCTTAAGTGCTGCCACAGGCACAGAAACAGAAGAAACACACACGCACCCGAAGTACGCGAGCGTTAGGGTTTAGGGTTTAGGGTTTAGGGTTTAGGTCGAACGGCCGGGAGTTCAGGGTTCAGGGTTTAGGGTTTAGGGTTTTGGTCTGCTGCTGCAACATAACTCTACGATCCCAATTTATTTCAGCTGAATTTGTTGCTGCTGGCGGTTTTGCTGCTGCTGCTGCTTAAGCTGCTCTCCGCTTCTTGCTGCTGCTGCTGCTGCTCCCGCTAGTTCTGCCTGTGCAGCTGCTGCTGTTGCAACTGCTGCCTTTGCTGTTGTTTTTGAAATAGCAGGAGTTGGAACTCACGGTGTAAGCCCTAGGGTTTAGGGTTTAGGGTTTAGGGTTTAGGGTTTAGGGTTTGCGGAATGCCTGCAGTACGACGGCCTCGCCGCGGCGGTAAAGCACACACAGGAAGAAGAGGAGGAGGAGCAGCAGCAGCAGCAGGCCAAGCAGCAGCAACGGCGGCAGCAGAAGCAGCAGCAGCAGCAGCAGCAGCAGCACCAGAAGCTGCAGCATCCCTCCATATCTGCTTCGAGAGAGTCGCAGAAGCTTTCTAGTGCTGCAGCAACTGCAGCAGGCGACGTGCTGCCAGAAGCAGAAGCAGCAGCAGCAGCAGAACCTGCAGCAGCAGCACCCGAAGCAGCAGCACCTGCAGCTGCAGCTCCTGCAGCAGAAGCTTCTGAAGCAGCAGCAGCAGCATCAGATACAACAAAAGCAACAAGCCTTGAAGCAGCAAACGAAGCAGCAGCAGCAGCAGCAGCAAAAGGAGCAGCAAAAGACGCAGACGAGAGAACAGCGGCAGCAGTGGAACAAGCGCCACAAGAAGCAACAGCAGCAGCAGCAGCAGCAGAGGAAGCCGCAGCAACAATACAGGACCCACAAGCTGCAGCAGCTGCAGGAGCAGCAGAAGAGGCAGCCATACGTGAAGCAGTTGCTGCCGCAATAGCAGCAGCAGCAACAACGGAGTCGAGCAGCGGACCGGCTGCAGCAGGAGAGGAAGCAGCAGCAGCAGCAGCAACAGCGGCAGCTGCAGCTGCAGCACAAGACGAGGCAGCAGCAGAAGGAGTGGAGGATGCTGCAGCGGAGGCAGAAATAATAGCAGCAGCGAGTGCAGAGAAAGCAGCAGCTGCAACAGCAGCAGCGGAGGCAGCAGCAGCAGAAGCCGCGCGGTGTAGTGATGCAGCAGCAGCAACAGCAGCAGCAGCAACAGCAGCAGCAGTAAGGGCGTCGGAGCTTGAGCCAGCTGAAGCAGCAGCTGTTGCACCAGCTGCAGAAGCAGCAGCAGCAGCAAAAAGAGCCACAGAGACTGCAGCGATCGAGGCAGCAGCAGCAGAAGCAGCAGCGGACGCAGCAGCAGAAACAGCGGCAGCAGCAGCACAAGCAGCAGCGGCGCCGGGAGTTGCGAAGACAGCAGCGGCAGCGGCTGCCGCAGCAGAAGCAGCAGCAGCAGCAGAAGCAGCGGCAGCGAGGGAAGCAGACATAGCAGTGGCAGCAGCTGAATCGGCAGCAGCTGCGGAAGCAGCAGCAACGGAAGCAGCAGCAGCAGCGGCAGCAGCAGCAGCGGCAGCAGCAGCAACAATGACTGGGGCAGCAGAAGTCACTGCGACGCCCGCAGCTGCAGCAGCACAGGCAGCAGCAGCACCCGAAGCTACGGCGAAAGCAGCGCCTGCAGCAGAAGCAGCAACAGCTACAGAAGCAGCAGCAGCAGCAGCAGCAGCAACAGCAGCAATTGCTGTTGTTCCACGCAGCGAAGATGGCTCAGAAGGGGAGATGGGAGCCACTCTGTTTGACCCCCAAAAGGGCCTCTGCACATTCCGGTTCTGGGGGCCCCACGTAGAGGAAGCCTGGGTGAGGGTTTAGGGTTTAGGGTTTAGGGTTTAGGGTTTAGGGTTTGGGGTTGCGGCTGGGGTTCGCGCGCCCTGGCGCGCAGCCCGCTCGGCCCTGGGACCCACGGGGCAGCAGTGCTCCTGCTGCAGCAGCACGTGCTGCTGCT